TAAGCACTTGGCTGCCACATGAAAGATGGGTGTTTGAATACACCCAGTGGTTCTACAGGATAAAAGACCTGGCAATATGCTTCTATGAAGATTACAGTTTTGGAAACTGTATGGGCAGTTCTACTGTCACATCAGGTCACTGTGAGTCAGGATTGACTAAATGGCACACAACATCATCATCCTCCTTAAGAAGACTGAACATGCTACAAATATGTTAGTACTTTCTAAGCTAATTTAGAGATTTAATCTACTTCCAATAAAAATTTAGGTGCTTGCTTTTTACTTTTCATTTTTGTTTGTTTGTTTTTAATAGATAGGGGTTGTTTTTACTCTGATTGAATGATTTTAATGTTCATCTGGAATTAAACACAGTTGCAACTAGCAAAGACAATTATGAAAAAGAAGGATAATATGTGGAGGGGAAAACCTTGCCCTACCAAATATTAAAATAAGATAGAGATTAAAATATATATGAATTCATAGAACAGAGTAGACAGCCTACAATAATTACATATTTTGTAATTAGAAACAAAAATAACCACTTAAAATTATTTTCAAGCAATTTATGCTCAAGAGAATGCAAGATTCAGTGGAATTAATATCAATTTAAAATATAGAATTCAATCCACATGATGTTAGCATCGTTTATCTCTAGATGATATAATTTATTTTACAATCAATTTTTACTATTTTATATCTTCTACTTTTGCAATAAAAGGGGAGAAAATCTCTTACGTTTAAGAAAAAAAAAGATCATATCTTCAGTCATACCTAACCTTGTATCTCATTATGCCCATCATTTAATTTAGAGTATCTATAAATATTTAGGTTGAGTTCATTCTCATCTATCTTTCTTTCTTTAAAAAAAATCTCTAATTTTCTTTCTTGTTTAAAAAAGAAGAAGAGAAGAAAATTATTTCTGGAGTACACTTCGCATTTGGTCCTTAATAGGAGATTAAATCATTTAAACACAAATTGATAGAAGGTCCATGATGGTTTAACCTAATGAATTATTAGCATTTAAAAGTATTTTTATCTATTAAAGGTTTAAAATATACAAACTGATTTATGTTAATGACTCCATTTCCAATAAATGAAAACAGATTATCACTATGCATAAGAAATAGCACTTCCTTGCGTGTTCTTTGTATGAACTGTATCTCTGTTCTCATTTCACTAGTAAGAAGAAGTAATCAATTTTCATATCATATAAGAGAATATGACTTCTTTTTCTATTTAACCAACCTGTAGGTAGAATTAATGTTCAGCTATATAATATGACAAAACAAATAAGCATTAAGCCTGCTTCTTCTGGGACAGTCACCTCATCAAAACTCAGGGAAAATGGGAGGGAGTTTGCCACACACTGACTTAAATGCATCTGCTATGTATGAGAGTTGTTCTTTCAAACAGTGTGATATAGAAATGGCAGAAATCAACCTTTAGTTATTTAATGGACTATTCAGTTTCATCCTTATGTAATGTGTATTTTTGTTTGATGGCTGTTAATTAGGTGGTCTGGAATGCCTTTTCAGTTTGCAGAATTCAGAGAACACAGTCCTGGCACCTGTAAGAGGACAACAGCTGTGATTGCACTTGCTGTATTTATTAGTCAAAGTGGAGCAAAGTCAACCTGTTGAAAGTTTTGGTTTGCTTTTTTGTTTTGTTTGTTTCATGATAACATTCAAATGTTGACTTTTAACATCATTTTCTCTCTTTAATAGCTTGGGGCTAACAGTGGTTTGCACATCATCATCTTTGATGAAATCGATGCCATCTGCAAGCAGAGAGGGAGCATGGCCGGGAGCACAGGAGTGCATGACACTGTTGTCAATCAGCTGCTGTCCAAAATTGATGGAGTGGAGCAACTGAATAACATTCTAGTCATTGGTATGTTCACTTTAAAAAAACACAAAAAGGACTATCATGGAAAAACATGAAATACATAACTTTTGAATTAAGACCTATGTAGGTTGTAATCATAATCTCTTGCCAATGTTTTCAAATTAGAATCAAGTGATACTAAAGAATTTGGCTATTTTTAATATGTAGACTCAATAGGACAATATAAAAGATAGATTTTAGTGACTCGTGGGTTTAACCTTATAGCTCACCACAAATGGAAGGCAGCACACTGTAGTGCAGTGATTTTCAATCTAGGTCCTGAGGACCCCCGGCTCCTCAGAGGTGCTTCCGGGTCAGTGAGGGCCAGGGAGTAAACTTTGGATCCTGCATCCCTGTTGTAACTTCTTTTAACGGTTTTATGTACTGAGGTTCTTCTTAAGATTACTTTGGAAACAAGAACTTATGCTCTGTTATGAAGGTTGAGAACCACTGGCCTAGTAGAAAGGAGTCAGACAGTTTGTGTCCACATTGTCCCTATGACTTTGGTAAGCAAGAACCACTGGCCTAGTAGAAAGGAGTCAGACAGTTTGTGTCCACATTGTCCCTATGACTTTGGTAAGCAAGTCACCCTCTTTGAACCTTAAATTTTCTCTCTAAATATTTGAAGTTTTCATTGCAGTCCTATTCCTTGGCATGTACACAGTGAAATAGTAAAGCAAAGCCTCCAGGTATTTTCATTAGAACAGATCCAGAACCAATGATGTTTTTATTTGAGAATAATTTGGTTTTCTATCTGACTTTTGTAAAATGTTGTCTGAGCTTGTCAGGGAAATTACTGTCCTTACACATCATGGAGGGAACTTTTCGCTAATTTTGAACACTGATAATTTATCTGTTTGTTTGTTTAAACGTCTATGACCAGGAATGACCAACAGACCAGATCTGATAGATGAGGCTCTCCTTCGACCTGGAAGATTGGAAGTTAAGATGGAGATAGGTAAGCAGACCTGTCATTGATCAGGAACACTGACCGTTTTGCAGGAGCAAAGTCATATTACTTTGCTATAAAAGTTGTTCGTTAAAAATGGTGGATGTCATGTGAAGCAGATGTTTACATACATTTGTACTTATAAGAACAACATTTGGATTATAATGCTGATGGTGCTTTTGAGACTAGGAATGTATCTGTTATATTTTTAATTTTATCAGGCTTACCAGATGAGAAAGGTCGACTACAGATCCTTCACATCCACACAGCAAGGATGAGAGGGCACCAGTTACTCTCTGCTGATGTGGATATTAAAGAACTGGCTGTGGAGACCAAGAATTTCAGCGGTGCTGAACTCGAGGGTCTGGTGCGAGCAGCACAATCCACTGCTATGAATAGACACATAAAGGTCAGTGAAAACAAATTAATAGATCAGCGGTTTGCAGCCCTATAAATACCATGCCAGCATTCTACCACTTTCCTTTCAAGCATGCCAAGGGCTGGGATAATACGGACTTTTGATGGAAAAAAGAGATGGTAAAAGGAATAGAAATTGTCAGCTGCTGCGTCCTTAGAGTAGCAGAAAGGAGCAGATGATGGTAGTATCGGCCCCTTGGTAACCACTGGTCCATCTACCTTAAGTTGCTACCATCTGACACAGATATGTGAAGATGTGAAAGAAATTTCTTTTTTTTTAATTCCTGTGCTGTGTTAAATTATAACATGTCATAGGAGGTTGTATTTTTTACCTATTAGAATTATGACCAAAAACAAAAACCAAACTTACTGCCTTCAAGTTGGATCTGACTCATAGTGACCCCTCCTTGAGTTTCCGAGGTGGTATCTCTTACAGAAGTAGGTTGCCAAACCTTTTTTCTGAGGCGTGGCTGGTGAGTTTGAACTGCCAGCCTTCTGGTTAGCGGTCAAATGCCTTAGATGTTATGCCACCAGAGCTCTCTAGAATTATGAATAATTCTAATATAATTCTGCTATAATAGGGAATAATAATATTTTTGAAGTCGTAAGCTGGAGACACAAAGATAAATAAAACATGGCTTCTTCCCTCAAGAAGTTCAGAGTCAGAAAAACAGACATGTTAGCCAATTAGTGTAATTGGTGATTGATACTGTTATAGAAACGTGTTCCAGGGCACCCTTATTTTGATGTGGAGTAGGGCCTGTGTTTGATCCTTTACCATCACTCTCCTCTTGAGGTTTAAGTCATCACCTGGAGTTGAATGACTCCCAGATTCATGTCTCATCTCTTGAAAGTGGCTGCCTCCCATTTCAGTTTAATATTCCAAAACCAAGTTCACTGTCTTTTTTCTTACTTTCTTTTCTACTCTTATTGCCCTATTTATCCAATTTCCCAGCTTAAGACTTATTCCTGCCACTCTACTATGAGTTAGGTCTTTGCTAAATTTTGTCAGATCTATCTTGAAAGTTGTCATTTTCCAGTTCTTACTCCCACTCCTGCCTTGTATTTAATTAATCTCCTTTCTCAAAAAAATAGATTAATACCGTTCTCCTGTTCAGAAACTTGCTATGATCTCCCATTGTCTACAGAACAAAGTATAGACTTCTTAACCTGGGCTTGAAGGCCTTCTAGGTTGGACCCTAAACTGACCTTCCCAGAAAAAACTGAAGTACCAGCCATCAGACATTAGTTTATTTTTCTGCTTCTCTGTTTTTGTTCATTTTACTTCATTGAAAACCTTTACCCTCCATGTTACGTATTTTCAATACCTGGTTCATATGCCACCACCTTCCTCAAATCTTTTCTGATTCTCACTTTCAAGAATGACATCCTCTTTCAGTCTTTAAATATTAATATGTCTTTTATGGTATATAACTTCAGTTGACTTTGGTTCAAAATAGTCTCATTCAACGTCTTCTATATAATAGCTAGACACTGTGCTAGGGGTTCATGTTATAGCTGCAAAGAAGTAAATTGCCTGCCCTTGAGCAGCTCACAGTTGAATCCTCCACATGAAGTAATAGAAAGTACATGCAAGTTGAGGAAGTAAAAGGGCATCAGATGTGGTCACCTTGGGGCACGCAGGAAACCTCCACAGAGGGATCATCCACGTTGATGTGAGTATCTCTTGGTGGGGCAGGGCATTTTAAGATCCCTGAGTGGCACAAACACTCAAACACTTGACTGCTAGCTGGAAGGTCGGCAGTTTGAACCCACCCAGAGGTACCTTGGAAGACAGGCTTAGTGATCTGCTTCCAGAAGTCACAGCCTTAAAAATCCTGTGACAAGTTCTGCTCTTTACATGCGGTCACCCTGAGTCGGAATTGACCCTACAGCAACTAGCAACAACAGAGCATTTTAGGTGGAGGAGCAACATATGCAGAGAAACAAAAGATAGCATGGTGTCTTAGGGAAGTTTAGAGTTGCTTCAGCACGAAAGGTGGGGGAGAGGAGGTAAAAGAGAGACATGGTGGTGGGGGATAAGTCAGGACACTAAAGCAGGGATGGAGTACAAAGAGTCTTTCATACTAAGAAGTGTGGACTTTTGTCTAAACCATTGAAGAGTTTTAATAGCAGTGGCATAGTATTAAGACATAAGATCACTCCAGCAGCTGCGCGTAGTAGAGTATTCAGGGGAGCGGGGTTGGCAACACAAGACAAAAGAGAGGAACTTTTATAAGTTCAGACAGGGAATAATAAAAGCCTGAAAAGTTAGG